ATAGCCATGAATAGCTCAAGCATAGCCACGAATAGCACAAGCATAGCCGGCCACGATTAGCACAAGCATAGCCACGAATAGCACAAGCATAGCCGCGAATAGCACAACCATAGCCGACCACGAATAGCACAAGCATAGCCGTCCACGATTAGCACAAGCATAGCCGCCCACGATTAGCACAAGCATAGAACGCCATGATCTCAAGACAAGAGACAGCTTATCATCCCGCGTTTGTGGCACTGCTCGCACCAAAAAAATGCAACCTTAGGCTTAGCGAAGCACCATCGGAATTGTCGAGCTTTTATTTTTCCCCAACAGCTCTATAGCTAGGTGCTCGACCGAGACTCCAAAGCATCTTCTTGCCAGTTCTTGGCACGACGACGGAATCACTAATAAGTTCACCCCCTTCGATCAATCAAGCAGCCAACCATCCAGCTTGCCAATCAACCAACCAACCAACCAATCAGCCAGGCAGGCAGCCAATTAACCAACCGACCAACCAACAATCAGCCAATCAATCAATCATACAATCAATGCATCAATCAATCCATTAATCAATCAACCAACCAACCAACAACCAGCCAATCAATCAATCATACAATCAATGCATCAATCAAATAACCAATCAATTAATCCATCAATCAATCCATTACATTGACCAATCAATCAATCAATCAATCAATCAAGAAACAGGTCGATCAATGACAGACAAACTCCCCGCATACACTCACGCTTCGACTTCACTAACAACCAGCTACCGTCTTCATCCGAATAGAACGCCCGGTCATTATCACTGCATCTGGACTGGAAGTTGGCCCAAATACAGCTATAATGACTGGGCGTTCTATTCAGGTGAAAGACGGTAGCCCCCACGCCGGAACATTATCCCCTACGTTGCCAATCGTCTATTTACCCCAAGACTTCGTTTCATTGCTCTTCTTTTTTTCCTTATACCTTAAAACTAAATTGGTATCCTCCTTTGTTAAGAAAAATAACTCAATAACTCCATAACAACTAGTTAAATAAAAAACGAAGTAAAGAAAGAAAGCAAGCAAGCCAGCCAGCCATATTTCAAAAAACAAACAAACAAACAAACAAACAAAAAAACGACAAACAAAGAAACAAAGAAAGAGCAAGAGAAGGGAAGGAAAAATAAAAATAAAAATAAATCTGGTTACTATGATTTTTCCCCTTACAAAAAACAAAAAAAAGAAGAAGAACAAGAAAGAAAGAAAGAAAGACAGAAAGACAGAAAGACAGACAGACAGAAAGACTCCTCTCTCCCCCCCACCACCACCACCACCACCCCCTCCACAAAAAAAAAAAAAAAAAAAAAAAAAAAAAAAAAAAAAAAAAAAAAAAAAGACAGAGACATAAACAAAGAAAGAAAGAAAGAGAGAAAGAATGGCTAGGTGTCTTTAGTCTTTTTTATGATAACTTGGTATCCTTTGTAAAGAACCTGCAGATCGTCTGCAAACCATTTTAGGAAAAAATCTATGGCCGGTCGAGGTGTCATGTCGCTCCCATCTCCCCACAAGTAGTCGTCTAGTATCATGAGTCCATCCCGCTTGAGCAGCGGCCATGTCCTAACGATATCCAAGATGGTCAGCTTCGCTTTTAAGGATGCATCCACGTAAATAAAGTCAAACCTAGAGGACGTGACTAGCGGATCGGTCAACGTTTCCACACTGGAGCCTTGGCGCGCAAACAGACGCCTAGAACGACGAAAAGCGCGAGTGTTGTGAAGGAAATACTGGAAATACCATTTTAGGAAAAGGTCACAGCAAATGAGGCGACTGGAAGGATGGGTTAAGATGTTTTCCATAATCCAAACGGCGCTTCGGCCTTCGAAGGAGCCAATTTCCAAAGCGACGAGATGGGGGCGGCCTTTTAAATGACCAAGGAACTCGTTCCAAAGACCAATATGACCAGAGATCAAATCCTCGGTGAAGTTGTAGGAGGTGGGATCAGGTAGATAGAAATCCTCGATGTCAGCTTGAGGGTCAATACGGGGCGCCTTGATTTGAGCCAATAACCGCCTCTCCCTTGATAACGACCAGCTTGGCGTTCTCGGACACACGTACATCACCAACATCAACACCGCACACATCGTCGTGCTCAACAATCGTCCCATTCCCATCCCCATCCCCATCCCCACCTCTGTGTGTGTGTGTGTGTGTGTGTGTGTGTGTGTGTGTCTCTCT